TTGTAAATCATCTTTTTGCTTTCCTTGACCTTTCAACGCATTAGATATCTGGCTGAGCCGTATCTCTCTGCCGCTTTGTGATCTGGCTTGAGGTGGCCTTGGTTGGGAGCGTGGCGGTATCGGCATCGCTTGTGAGTATGTGCGGTCAACATTGTCAAAGGCAGCAACAAGATCTTCGCTTAATTCGAACTGGTCATCGTACGTAGGGGATGATAGTCGCTGTTTCTTCGTTGCACGCTCGAACTCATCATCCGATTCGCCTTCATTGGCTTCATCTGGTGTATCGATGAACTAGAGGTTTGATGATGTGCTTTCCATGTGCATTAAAGAGCACTCACCTATTTTCTTCTTGCTCATATCGTGTCTGATACTGTGGAGATGTTATCGCGGTGTGTGGAAGAAGAGGATCCTCTTAGTCAGGGTGCAGACGCCTGGGCCTAGAGAAATTTACGCACGCGTCCGCACACGTCCGCAACAGGTACGCACAAGGTACGCAACATGTACGCAACGCGTCCGCAACGGCGCTAACGGGGGTCCGCACGCGCGCTAAGGCAGCGCATACGCCGGGATATCGAGCCGTAGTGGCAGTCAGAGGGCAAGTGGTCGGTTTGAAACATTTTTACTATGCTCTTGAACACACAACCCTCTTTCCTATCTAGAAAATGACGCGATAAAGTTGGTGAACTCGGTCTGAATACCAATACAGACTACATCGCCGTTGCTCACACGAGCGCTTATGAATTGATCCGGCAATCCATGGTATTCATCGTCGGGGAGACCATGTACTGCACGTATCTGCCCTGAGATCGTGTCCTGATAACACCAGAGATGCATAAATACTACTGAATGAGACTATACACAGAAACTGCCCATGCCGCTGCACTTACGATGCGCATGTGTTGCGGACATGTTGCGTACCTGTTGCGTACCTGCTGCGTACCTGCTGCGTACCTGCTGCGTACTTGTTGCGGACGTGAGTGGACGTGTGCGGGCGTGCGCGTAAAATTTACCACGTACGCATCATATACGCAGCGCGTCCGCATCACATACGCAGCGCGTCCGCATCACATACGCAGCGCATGCGCAGACTCAATGCAACTCGGGCACATCGATATACAGGGCAGATGAACTCACCAAGACTTCTATATCTAGAGGCCCATCAGCAATGTTCCTTCACTGACAAATCGGACAGAAATTTGCGGCGAGTCCAGCTCAGGCACGAAGAACGGGGACCAGCTTGATTCGAGTACTTAAAGTATAACATCGTGATAAACAGCTAGTCAATAGACGTCTCAGATGTGCCCCGCCCCAATGAAGGGGACGGGTTTACATGAGACACATGGGCCCGGTCAGCTCGATGTATGCCTCAATTTTCCAAGATGTAGCCGTTTTTGTGCAGGAAAAGTGCGGACATGGTGCGGACGTGATGCATACATGTTGCGTACATGTTGCGTACATGTTGCGCACGTGTGCGTACGGTTGCGTACTTTTTGCTGTGCCCCAGACGCCTGAGAGACGCGTTCAATGAGCCAGGGAACTCGTCACGTGTACCGCGTTCTTCTTGGCGCTTGCGCCACACTTCACCCCAGACGACCTTTCCCAGAACTTCATGGTTTTCCTTGCAAGCATTGCGTTAGTATCAGGATCAGTGAGACTTTCTTATACTTCTGTTTCATTGAGGCACAATAACTAACATTTTCAGTGTAGTATACATCAACGGCCGGTTTCCGAGAACACCCGGCCCTCGAAGGCCTGTGAGCGGATGTTCAGGCAGTCATACGTTGGAATGAAGCCTGTTCTTGTTGACCTAGTATGAACGACTGCTCTATGCAGCAAATAAAGTACTTCGGCACTCTTGCTGTCCTATAGCCCGAAGGTCTGCGTACGATGACTTTGTCGGTGAAGCTCTGCGCGACTCCTAACCCTACAATCATCATGGTCCTCAACAAGGTCGCCTGCGAAGTTCGCCGAGACCTCGCACCTACGGTTTCTGTTCAACGCAGCATGCCGATAACCTTCAAGGTACGTGACCTGATGTTTAAAATAGCCCCATGATCTTCACGTCTTATAATTAGCATCACAGCCGCTCTGCGAATGCCTCTAAGCCGAGCATTTTCCCAATCGCCACTTGCATGCTCTCCCTTACGCATCTAGCCGTGGAGCCACTATCATGGGGCTCAATATGTTCTAGCTTCGACGGATCGCGGTCATTCTACTGTCCAAGTTGCCTACCACACCGACCTTATTTGGAGGAGGCGTAAAGACGCTTGCCGTGCGTGTCAACAGGTCTGCCGTTCAAACGACTAAACTCTGCCGTGCAGGGGTCATATGCCCACCATAGCCAACGTCCATGCTCGCTGTACTGGCCAGACTACCGCGCAGCGTGAACGGTCTCTCCAAAACATCGGGTCAAGGTCGCAACACCAGCCGTCGCAGTTAATAAACGGTACATTTGTGTCAAAAATAGGTCTTACGGGCTTCAACCACATTGGATGTCCGTGTAGTCGCGCGTAAAAGCAGCGACGCTTTGGTCGAACAAAATCACGGCATGATCAGGAAAGTTCCATCGTTGTATTCCGATCAAACTCGATCTGTGTCCTCGATCTGTGCCCACGACCTCTTCGACTCAAGGCGCGTACGTAGGCCAAGCAAAACATACAAGTTCACATCGAACTTCTTCATTCTTCATACGCTTGGCACTAGAAGAGCTGTGCAGAGGAGTATAGTGAAATGGGAAACGAGCGCTGCTGTGCTGATACAGACACAGCCTTCTTCAAGGCCCCTCACATGTCCCCCCTCTGACATGGCACAACGGCTCTGAAAAAGCTCGGCGATATTGAGAGCAGTACCGCGCTTGTCAGTCGTCCACCGAGTTCTTTCGCTCAACTCACTGACAACTGATCCCTTCCTCCTTCACCTTTCCTCCAGATATTCGGACGAAGCCGTGGCGATACGGACGACATTTGTCCGCTACGCATCACACGGGGTGAACAGCGATGCTCGAACGTACGAGGTCCTCCGTGTTTAATCCGCCGTTGCTGTATAAAACCTGGAGGGACGCGACGGTTGAAGCAGCAGGGTGGACAAGACTTTCCAGTGCTACTCAAGCCTCTCAGCTCATAACTGAAAACCGCATCCTCTACCACCAGTGAAGGTACTATCTACCACTTACTAACGAATTACAGAGGGGCTGACGATTTCACCTTAGCCATGTTCCGCTCGGCAGCACTCACGTTCTTCACCCTCTTCGCGGTGGCGTACGGCCAGCAGGCCGGTACTTCCACCGCGGAGACCCACCCCATGCTGACAACTCAGCAATGCACAGCCGGCGGTAGTTGCACGACGCTCCAGACCTCCGTCGTGCTCGACTCCAACTGGCGCTGGCTGCACAACGTCGGCGGTTACACCAACTGCTACACCGGTAACGAGTGGGACGCGACCCTCTGCCCCGACCCCGTCACCTGCGCCCAGAACTGTGCGCTCGACGGTGCCGACTACGAGGGCACGTACGGTATAAACGCCAACGGCGACTCGCTGACACTCGCCTTCGTCACCGCCTCCAACGTCGGCTCGCGTGTTTACCTGCTCGACGACGAGTCCACGTACCACATGTTCAAGCTCAAGAACCAGGAGTTCACCTTTGACGTTGACATGAGCAACCTCCCGTGCGGTATCAACGGCGCGTTGTACCTGTCGCAGATGGATGCCGACGGTGGTATGTCCAAGTTCCCGAACAACAAGGCTGGTGCCAAGTACGGTACCGGCTACTGCGACTCGCAGTGCCCTCAGGACATCAAGTTCATTAACGGAGAGGTGCGTTGAACGGTTTCCGTTCCTAACACCAAATTGTTGGATCACTAACGCAATACACGCAGGCTAACCTTCTCGACTGGAATACCACCTCCGCTAACTCTGGTACCGGTTCATACGGTACCTGCTGCAGCGAGATGGATATTTGGGAGGCCAACAACGACGCTGCGGCGTTCACTCCCCACCCCTGCTCTGTTGACGGTCAGACTCGCTGTTCAGGCGAGCAGTGCGGCGCTGGCGACGAACGCTACGACGGTGTTTGCGACAAAGACGGGTGCGACTTCAACTCTTTCCGCATGGGTAACACCACCTTCCTCGGCAAGGGCATGATCGTCGACACCACCCAGAAGTTCACCGTTGTCACCCAGTTCATTACCTCCGACAACACTTCTACTGGAGACCTCGCCGCCATCCGCCGCATCTACGTCCAGAACGGCCAAGTCATCCAGAACTCCCTCGTTAACATCCCCGGTGTCGACCCCGTCAACGACATCACCGACGACTTCTGCGAGCAACAGAAGACCGCATTCGGCGACCAGAACTACTTCGCGACGCTCGGCGGTCTGAAGCAGATGGGCGACGCGCTCGAAACCGGCATGGTCCTTGCTCTCAGTATCTGGGACGACTACGCCGCAAACATGCTCTGGCTCGACAGCGACTACCCCACCGACAAGTCTGCGACCTCGCCTGGTGTCGCTCGTGGTACCTGCTCCGCCACGTCTGGTGTTCCCGCCACCGTCGAGAGCGTCAGCGCTAGCGCGTCAGTCACGTTCTCCAACATCAAGTTCGGTGACCTCGGCTCGACCTTCAGCTCTTCCGGCAGCACTTCTCCCTCTAACCCCTCTGGCCCATCTTCCCCGACTAGCTCCGCTCCCCCGACTCAGACTTCCAGCGCGGGCACTGTCTCCCAGTGGGGCCAGTGCGGTGGCACCGGCTACAGCGGGCCCACCACCTGTGCGTCCGGCTTCACTTGCCACGTTATCAACCCATGTGAGTGTATTTTAACTCCACACAAACGTCAGAGCTGACAACGTTGTCCGCAGACTACTCTCAGTGCTACTAAGTGATACCGCCGCAATAGCAGGAGGTCTTAGATGCAAAAGGGATCCGTTGATTGGGCCTCATGTACTTCTAAGTTCTGAGAATGGATTGGAATCATATATGCTTTGTCTCCAAGATGTGCAAAAATCAGACCCTGCCGTGGTTCGAACACGGGACCGCACGATATAAGCAGAAAACTGCAATCGTATGCTCTACCACTGAGCTACAGAGTCTTTGTAAGCGGAAATGCTGTGCTACCCTAACCCAGTTCCTGGAGTACGAGCGTCGGATGTTCGGGATGCGTCGAGGACGTCGTTTTGTCGAACGCGCTCGCCGCCGAAAGTCGTTTCACTCGCGACAACCAACGAGAGCGCAGCCATTGACCGACGGACGCCGACGGACGCTTCGGAAGATGTGGAAGATATGAACATCAGACATGGAATCATCAGCATGACATATCCTTACATGTCCCCCGCGGCTCATCCAAGGACGCTCACCCAGGCAATACCAGGCGCCTCAGCCTCTGAGCCTGCTCTATCCCTCCTTGTCTCTCTTCCCCCATGTCCATGCTCAACGCCTCCGCTCAGCACGTCTGGGACCACCACTTCTGGGGCCCGGTCACTGCTACACTCGACTGGTGCGAGGTGAGGAGCGACCCACTTGTCTGAAGACCGTTGCTGAGCTCGCGTTCTAGGCCAACTACCAGTTTACTCGGTACATTGCGGAGGCTGCCAACACCATCTCCAACTTGGTGACCATGGGTCTTGCATTGTATGGAGCATACCTCGTTAAGGACGCGAATATGCCAGGGCGCTTTTTAGCGGGATGGACGGTGCGACTCAGGGGGTTCTTCGCTTACCATGGACGCTGTCTAATGACGCTTCCGCATTGCAGGGCTTTGCGCTTGTCGGCTTGGGCAGCTTCATTTTCCACGCGACCCTCCAATATGAGGCTCAGCTGGCTGATGAACTGCCTATGATTTACGTCGCTTCCTACTGTACTGCTGTCCTCTTCGACCTGCAGCCCGGCTTCAGCATCAACAACGCGCGTTCACGGCTCATTATCACGCTCTTCCTGGCCTTCAACATCCTTTTCACTTGGGTCTAGTGCGTACTTCCATCTGTTTTCCATGCGGGGACGCGTTTTCATCTCGCGCTCCACTTGCAAATTTCGCGATGGTCAGATGTTGACAACCTGATGCACAGTGCCTTGTCCCGGAACCCTGTCTTCCACCAAATCACATTCGGTGTAGTCATGCTCACCACAGGTGCCCGCACAGTCTACGTGCTGCGGTACATGCCCGAGGCCAACGCGCGTATCCCCCCGCAGGCGCGCTCGGACATCGTCAAGCTTTTCGGCTCGGGTGCTGTGACATTTGCTCTCGGCTTCATCCTCTGGAATCTCGACAACATCTTCTGCAACAGGGTCACCGAGTGGAAGCACCAACTTGGTTGGCCGCTTGCCTTTTTGCTCGAGGGTACGCATATCGTCGTATGTTGTGATTCCAGCTGACGCTTGTTGCAGGGCACTCTTGGTGGCATATTCTTACCGTGAGTTCTGTCACGGCCTTTGTTCGCGCAGCACTCTGAAACAACTCCTGTTCCTCCTCTCCAGGCCGTCGGCGTCTACCTGATGCTCGTTGGTAACAGCTGTACGTAACTTTATATGTTCTATCTCTGTATTTCAGACGTCTTACGCGTTGTACGCGTCTTTCGCGTCTACTTACCAGACCTGTGAGTCACCCCTGCCTTTTTTTTCCTATGTAACAGCGCTGATCATGATAACTCGTTGCCTCGCGCGTCCGACTCGCGCCTCGCTCTTTGTTCGACGCGTCAATGTACACATTCAGCACTCTCGGCGTTAAGGACAACTTCGCGAATTACGCGGTCTACACACGTTACGGCCTGCCCGGGGTCTATCGCGCTGGGAAGTCGAAGGCCCTTTAATAAGAGCACCCTTCACGGCGTACACAGAAGGCGCGCAGAGATTATGTACGTGGTTATAGAGCGTTGGCAACTACTTACAGCTGCGGATAGACGGAGAAAAGAGAAGAGAGATAAAGACTGTATCATTTACGATCAATCGCCCTCCCTTGACCCATCACATCATTTTCCTCTTTCATTGCAACCCGCCTGCCACGGACGAACGCATTGTCTCGTCACGACCTTCATGACATCTCCACTCTGCTCCCGAACTTCATGTATCCTTACGACCTTGTTACCAGCATGGCTCTGACCCGGTCTGTTGTTTAATTCTTCGCCGCATAATGTATACCAGGCACGCTTGGGCTCTTACATATCATGCATTGCATTCGCCTCGGATCCTCGGATGATCTGCGCAATTCATTCGCCGTGACGTCAGTTCAGCCTCAGCAACATACATACATACACCGCAGGAACGATCAGACCATTTCCCATCGACATTCGCCACAGTCCTTAGCGAATCCTCTTCGATAGCTTCGCAAACCCGGCAAGACTGTTGAGCCGGCTCATCATGGTACTCAAATATTCTGCTGTGCACTCTTCAAATTCTCCCTCCTCATCGCGCCACGTTATATGATACATATGCATATCTCCACGACGAGTTACTTCCTCTCTCTTGGTAACCTTCTCAGGCCTAGAGAGAGTAACAAAGCCGGCGAACGGGTGCCGGCTCGCACCCGTTCGCCGGCTTCCAGCGTACGTAGGCCGGAGCGCCAAGTTTTTCGCTCAATCCATGACTCCGTGCTTTCTGCTCGACATTGTCCACACTCTCTTTACCATCTCTACTACTTTACGCATTTCACTAATTTGTTATGACTGCCCTATTTGCGGACCATGGAGACTCACAACGGACCAACAAAGGCGATCCAGGCTCCTTGGCAGACCCCGCAAAGTTCTGCTCAACGATGAAGGCTGCGGCTGTGAAACCGATGTACAAATAAATGAGTGCTTTACTGGAAGACCTAAAGACCTACATAGCCCGCGAGCGAAAGCATCCCGCTGACCGGTGGCAGGCTATATGGCCTTTGGTAGAGAATGGGGCTGTGGATGCCCTCCTTGATTTTCTCACGAACGCAGAGTTATACAAGGAGGAGAGATTTAATAGACGGATAAGGACGGTGCGCGGTCTTCCTCTCTCAGTTTCATGCCCTTACTCAATAGCGGTAACACAGCTCTTCACTATGTCTATTCACAATGTTGTCATGTTTTCTAATCTACTCCGTAATATCGAGGATATAACATCGGAGACGACCGTATCTACCATAACTCGATGGAGGATGAAAGCAGCTAAGCTATATATCCTTATGTGGGAGCATAGGCACTTGGTGTTCCATTCGGCCTCTGTGCCAGATCGTGATACTGCAACATATTCCGGAGCACCAGAAGATGAAAACGCGATGCCCGAATTTATCCTGCAATTTGCACTTATTCGCCATGACATCTGAGTGTGTCTATTTTTCACCCAGTCGTGCATATAAGTACTTACTGAGCATCACACTTCAGTGAACTTTTTCTTCCGCATCCAGCCGTCCAGATCGTCCTGTATCTTTGGGCTTTTTATGATGATCTGAGATCCTCGCAGACATGCATAACAGTCATGGAGTTGTTCATGAAGAGACAAACACCTTTACAAGCCCATCAGGATTTGGACACCGTCTTCGCGGCAATTCTAAGCGACATCAAGGATGCGCAATCTCTAGTGAATTCATGCTTGACTCTGATCCGCGATGAAAGAACTATCGACCATTTCTCGAAGCGGTACCTCCTCCTCGCAAGATACATCGTGGATTATTGTCCAACGCAAACGTTTGCCGATATCCAGGATATATCTTCGGTCGATGATCTATGGGCAACGCTGTTGCGTACGGTTCTCAGGGCCTGTGAGCGCCAACTGTGTAGGGGCAGTCAAGACAGTCAGGACACAGACGTCGTCCTTGCATTGGGACTGGCGACGATTTGGTACGTTTCTGTGACTTCGCTGGAATCACGTCTCGCTCATACCTATGCAGTATGCTGTTTGATCCCCCGGAAAAGCATTCGTCGCGAATTCCTACGTATGATTGGTCGACAGACCAAGGTTGCCTAGGCAAGCTAGATATGATTACTCTGGCTGCCCAGCTCACTATGCCTGCAGTCAAACGTGCGGACTCGCTGCCAATTGCCAGTAATGTTTCATCTACCTATTGGTCGATTCTTCGTTTAATGAGTAGCCCTAGGTCCAATCTTAGATATTTTGGACTTCCATTGTGCCGCTATGCAGTGGATGCAGGAGGAGGAAGAGAACATGCGCAGAGACACCGTGCGCCGCCTCGTCGAAACGGGTCGCAGATGTATTGGGCCGACATTGGCTGCTCTCTACAGTTGTAATCCTCGCAGCAAAAAGGCGCAGCAGGTCAAAGACGTCATGATCCGAGCCTGGGAGACGTACCGAAAACGTCCGGGCCTCTCTCGATTTGACGAGTGGACGGAACAGGATGAGGCAAAGTCCGCGGTATGGGGTGCATGCGCGCTCAAGACGTGTTTATGCTCTCGCCGCGCGACTCCTCACTACAAGATGCGAGTGTGCACAGGATGTCGGCAGGTGTTGTATTGCGGGTCCCGTTGTCAAGCACTGTGAGTTTGACAGCAGCTCATGTACGAAAGCTGACTTCGTATGCAATACAGGGATTGGGAAGAGGGAGGACATAGAGAGAACTGCCGACGTTGGCGCAAGTTACAGGCGTAGTCACTTACTGCCGCCTCTATCACGGACAACACATTATCTCGTCATGACCTTCATGACATCTCCACTCTGCTCTCGTATTGCATGTATCCTTACGACCTTATTATCAGCATGGCTCCGACTCAGTCTGCTATTTGATCCCTCGACGTATGATGTATACCGGGCACGCTTGGACTCTCGCATACATGGCATCCACGCCGGGCCCTCGTGAAGATTTGCGCAATTCATTCGTCGTGACGTCAGTCTAACCTCAGTAACATGCATATAAGTTTCGGAGGAACGATCAGACCATTCAATCGACATTCACCACAGTCCTTAGGCCTTAGCAAGACTGTTTTTCGGCTCATAGAAGCGACAGTTAACTGTGAGACGTCGTCAGGTAGATATATACGCCTTCGCGACAAGCTGCCGTCCTCTCTTGCTCAGTCGTAGACTCTAGAGCTAAGTAGTACGGACGCTAGAGATAGCGCTCGAGCTCCGACTCCTTTAGCGTCTGTTGACTGGGGCGCCAGATTTTCGACTCAAGTAT